AAATCAACTATCAACACTACTACCAAATACTTTTTATAACTAACCCCTTGTACTTTCAATTTTTCCAAAAGCAATTGTTTTTGCTGTCATTTATGTCAATTGAGTGACCTCTACTGTCGTAATGTGGAACGGAAGATTCTACTGCGTTGCGTGTCTTACAAGTTTGTCTCCAGAATATTGCCAAGGAGAAAGCAAGTCCTTGATGTCATTTATGGCCATATGCTTAATTAATAGGTTGATAACAGATATTTACAGTGAAATATTTGATTAAACAGATTTTATTTCAGGGTATGATGGGAAAAGACATTACAGGCTATCCAAAAGAAAAACTATTCACCCCCCACACCAAATTGAGATGCTGACCAAAAAACTAAGGGATGAATACTGTATGTGACCAATAAAATGTGATTTGAAGTAAATAAAAAATGTGATTTTATGATAGTAAGATGTGAAGGTGGATGTTTTTTCCAGAGGGAAGCAAAAACCAGCTAAAGAACCCATTGCAAATGTGGGAAAAAAATTGAAAGATTCTTCCCTGACCTATTTTTTTTTTTAAAGCTCCTGGAAACATGTGTGTGCGTGACCGCAGGTCTGGTGATTATAATGTGATAACGGAACTTGTAAACTATGTGGAGACAATATGTGTGAGGATACAACGATGTGGGCTGAGAACAAATCGAAAAGTAACTAATGGAGATTATGATGATTACGGACATAACTACACTTAAAATAAAAGTAATGCAAAAGTACAAATCCCTGCAAGCTCCTGCACGTCATCTCTAGCTGACACCATTGCTAACAGGTATTATGTAAATTTAAAACATGCACACGACAGTTTACAGAATTGTCCATTTAAAGAAATGTAGCCAATTTATTAATAACTACATTTAGCTAACATTAGATAGTTAATCCAGAGATTATTACCTTTGCCTCGATTCAGCAGTTTCGCCAAGATCATCATGGCATTTGTAGTTCTTTATGTAGTTCTTGTCCATGCAATAAGCAATATGTGGACAAAACCAGTAGATCGATAAGAACACGTATTATAGAACACAAGAGTGCTGTAAGGAGAAATGACCCTAAATCCCCTATTGCAAGTAATTTCTCAGAGGCCGGTCACCTTTTCTCTTCCATATCTTTCTGTGCTATACAGCAGATAAAACGTTCACTTGAATTAAGTATTCTCCAGACAAAATGCAGTTGGATGCTCTATTTAAAAACTCTCCACCCATCAGGCATGAATGAAGAATTGTTATTGAATTGTGTTCTGTAACTGGTATATTGCTTCTTATTTGTGTTCGATACCCCCATCTAGTGGTGTCTCTAGCTTCCTACTCTTACAATCCGGTGTTATTTATTCTGAGAAAATGTTCAGTCGTGGTCAAAAGTTTTGAGAATGACACAAGTATTGGTCTTCACAAAGTTTGCTGCTTCAGTGTTTTTAGATATTTTTGTCAGATGTTACTATGGTATACTGAAGTATAATTACAAGCATTCCATAAGTGTCAAAGGCTTTTATTGAGAATTACATTAAGTTTATGCAAGAGTCAATATTTGCAGTGTTGACCCTCCTTTTTCAGGACCGTTGCAATCCGCCCTGGCATGCTGTCAATTAACTTCTGGGCCACATCCTGACTGATGGCAGCCCATTCTTGCATAATCAATGCTTGGAGTTTGTCAGAATTTGTGGGTTTTTGTTTGTCCACCCGCCTCTTGAGGATTGACCACAAGTTCTCAATGGGATTAAGGTCTGGGGAGTTTCCTGGCCATGGACCCAAAATTTCGATGTTTTGTTCCCCGAGCCACTTAGTTATCACTTTTGCCTTATGGCAAGGTGCTCCATCATGCTGGAAAAGGCATTGTTCGTCACCAAACTGTTTTTGGATGGTTGAGAGAAGTTGCTCTCTGAGGATGTGTTGGTACCATTCTTTATTCATGAGTGTGTTCTTAGGCAAAATTGTGAGTGAGCCCACTCCCTTGGCTGAGAAGCAAACCCACACATGAATGGTCTCAGGATGCTTTACTGTTGGCATGACACAGGACTGATGGTAGCGCTCACCTTGTCTTCTCCCGACAAGCTTTTTTTCCGGATGCCCCAAACAATCGGAAAGGGGATTCATCAGAGAAAATGACTTTACCCCAGTCCTCAGCAGTCCAATCCATGTACCTATTGCAGAATATCAGTCTGTCCATGATGTTTTTCCTGGAGAGAAGTGGCTTCCTCGTTGCCCTTCTTGACACCAGGCCATCCTCCAAAAGTCTTTGCCTCACTGTGCGTGCAGATGCACTCACACTTGCCTGCTGCCATTCCTGATCAAGCTCTGCACTGGTGGTGCCCCGATCCCGAAGCTGAATCAACTTTAGGAGACGGTCCTGGCGCTTGCTGGACTTTCTTGGGCGCCCTGAAGCCTTCTTCACAACAATTGAACCTCTCTCCTTGAAGTTCTTGATGATCCGATAAATGGTTGATTCAGGTGCAGTCTTACTAGCAGCAATATCCTTGCCTGTGAAGCCCTTTTTGTGCAAAGCAATGATGACGGCACGTTTTTCCTTGCAGGTAACCATGGTTAACAGAGGAAGAACAATGATTTCAAGCACCACCCTCCTTTTAAAGCTTCCAGTCTGTTATTCTAACTCAATCAGCATGACAGAGTGATCTCCAGCCTTGTCCTCGTCAACACTGTGTTAACGAGAGAATCACTGACATGATGTCAGCTGGTCCTTTTGTGGCAGGGCTGAAATAATGCAGTGGACATTTTTTTTTGTCCGCTTTTGTATATTTCGTATATAATTTAGATAATTTACTCTATTGTACTAGGTACTGATTCATAGATTTTCTGATGTATTTTGTTGCCCGATCATGTGACATATGCAATTATCATTAAAATGGAAACCAGGTGTGTGTGCTGACAATTTACACTGATGATGGCCTGAGGCCGAAAACGTTTGTGTTTTGTTTTCACCTTTTATTTATGCACTTTCTTGCACTATGATATATTCTTTGGGCACCATGATGTTTCAATAAATGTCTTTATTTTGCATTCAAGCCTCAGTTTTGGATCTATTACTTTTCTATTCAAACAGTGTGCGGGTCTCTATTTCTTCTAGTTCTTTATGATAGCCACATTAGCAGCTAATTAGCGTTACATTTTTGGGGGGTAAATACAGGCGAATATGTTGATAAAAGTCACCTTGTCCTAGAGAGATTTACACGGTTATCAAAATAAGCCTACACAAAACACAGCCCTTATTTGAAGTGTTTCTAAAATCCCCTAGGGAAAAATGACTGGTGGAAAAACGATTGGAATCGTTTCCCTGTTTGACTGCTAGGGTTTATGGGTATTATGACTCATACTGTGGAACTCTATATCCATAATCTTTGGCGTGGGGTAGTGTTTGGCCGGAACAAGGAGTTTGGGTGACCAGTCAAGGTTACAAACAGTCATTCTTGCATCATGCGATCAATTATCAGTTCTAAACATTTATTTTCATTCTCTACGCTTATGATCTATTTTCTTGCGCGAATATGACAGAAAAGTGGTGGTCGGGGCACGTCTCTGGATGTGCTGAGCCGGAGGAGCTTGTATTAATCCTGCTGTAGGACTCCTTGCGGCCAGCACTTGCAGGTAAACGACTAAAATGAACTAGTCACTTGTTTCTTCGTGTTAAATGTTTCTCATGCTGGGAGCAGCGTAGAGCTGATTTCTTGCGTTTCAAATAATGGATAAAGGACCTCAATAAAGAAAAAAAAAACGGTCCTCTATTGTCCATACCTAACGTAATGGAAGAAGTTACTTTGCTACAAAACGGATAGTAATAAAATTGCCTATGCTTTGCATTAGTCGCATACCCTTATCATTTGCTAATAATGCTTCATGTTTATTTTTTTTCAAGGCAACGAAGAGCAAGATGCGCAATAACCTGTTTAGGAGGGGAATTGGAGCAAGTTTCTGAAGGAATGTGGATCAAGACCAGAATGCATTAGACTGGGATATCCTTGCTAGTCATCTCTATCGTGTCTGAATGCTTTCTTCCACCCGGGGCACTTTTTCTTTGTGCTGGGAACAAACTATTTCACTTTGTCTTTGTGCTGGGAACAAACTATTTTGATCATGTTGGTGGGATGTACAGCAAGTATTGTGTTCGAGGACCACATCACGCAAGGATAACAATGTAAAGATTAATCAGGATTACAACGAATAGACGGATGTTTGCAATTTGTTCTTGGTGAAAACACATTTTCGGAGTTGCGAAGCCCACAAGTTATATTTGAGTTTCAAGTATCGAAGGTAAAGTTTGGATATCCTCAGTAGAATCAAAGAAAACGTTTAGGCTAAGGGAACATAAGGCTATCAATAGGAATATGGTACTGATGTAGTGGGTAGTGGGTGCATGGCATATGGTATTTAAGCAATATACCAAATTGCAATTGATATTTGCGGTAAGAATTCCAATGGAAATAGCCCATATTCAGTTAATTGTACGTATTCAGGAATTTATCCTCACAACCACTGAAAACCATCTGCAATTAGATTTTACTGCTTTTATATACAGTCCATAGGCCTACTAAAAAGATAGATTCTTGGCAGAGTATAGAAAACAACCCAGGACAGTTGTGTAATCGAGTCGTAAACATACCCAGCTTGATACTGCACTAGCTGTTTTTTAAGAGAGTAGATATAGCACTAAGGTTATTATCATGTTATATAGTGCATGAGCACATTCGAAATTAATAGTTTGTTTCAGTATTAGTGTCATTTGAGCAGAAGATCATTACATTTATATAACTCTTTCGCTCCTTCTCTTATTGATTTAAACAAGTGTTGGGTGACTAGAGTTGAGATGAGCTGAAATAGTAGGGCTATAGTTAAGCTATTCAGAGATCACCTATTTGCACAACATGTGTTAACACGTTGTGCTCAAGGGTAGCAGGATCACAATGATTTTAGGCAGTGGGCATATGATAGTCAGCTGATTTTTGACGTCATCAGAGAGTCAAAATGTCGATGAAAGGCAAGGCACTCTTCACTTTCCAAAGTGAAAACAAAGAGGAGATCAGCATACAGGAGAATGAGGAACTGGTTATCTTTGACGATAACTCTGTAGATGGCTGGTTACAAGGGGAGAACAGTAAAGGACAGAAAGGTCTCTTCCCAGCCTCTTATGTGGAAGTATTCCGCCCTCGTTCCAACTCCAACCTGACAGACTGCTCCATAAGCCCGGTGGGTTCTCCCGGCAATGACTCCTCATTTTCCCCTTCTGCCGCAAACATGCCCTTTCACATGCAACAGGGTTACTATGACGATGACGATGATGACTGGGATGATTGGGATGACAGTTCCACAGTGGTGGACGATGATGGCCGCAGTGGCACAAATGGACATTCCCATCAGAGCCCCCACTCCAACAACCCCAATGTCCACTATTGTGCCAAACCTTACATGGAGAGGCAGGACAGCATCTCCAGCTCGCGGAAGGGCAGTATGGTGGGCAGGAACTTGAACCGATTCTCCAGCTTTGTCCGCTCAGGGGTGGAAGCGTTTGTGTTGGGCGATGTGCCCATGAACGCTAAGATAGCCGAGTCGTACACCATTGAGATGGGCCCCAAAGGGCCTCAATGGAAAGAGAGCCCCACACCTTTCTCTTGCTCCATCGAGGACCCCACCAAGCAGACCAAGTTCAAAGGCATCAAGACCTACATATCTTACCGGGTGACCCCAAGCCACAATGCGAGGCCTGTGTACCGGCGTTACAAGCACTTTGACTGGTTGTACAACCGTCTACTGCACAAATTCACCATCATCTCCGTACCCCACCTGCCTGAGAAACAGGCAACTGGGCGCTTCGAGGAGGATTTCATCGAGAAGCGCAAGAGGCGGCTGATCCTCTGGATGGACCACATGACCAGCCACCCGGTCCTGTCGCAGTACGAGGGCTTTGAGCACTTCCTCATGTGTGCCGATGACAAGCAGTGGAAGCTGGGCAAACGGCGGGCGGAGAAGGACGAGATGATGGGCGCCAACTTCATGCTTACCTTCCAGATCCCCAACGAGCACCAGGACCTGCAGGATGTGGAGGAACGTGTGGACTCCTTCAAGACCTTCGCCAAGAAAATGGACGACAGCGTCATGCAGCTCACGCACGTGGCCTCGGAACTGGTGCGGAAGCACCTCGGAGGCTTCCGGAAGGAGTTCCAGCGGCTGGGGAACGCTTTCCAGAACGTCAGTCAGGCGTTCATGCTGGACCCTCCCCACTGCTCAGACGCCCTCAACACCGCCATCTCCCACACGGGATGCACTTATGAGAACATTGGGGAAATGTTTGCAGAGCAACCTAATTATGACCTCTTCCACATGCTGGACAAACTGTCGCTCTACCAGGGCCTACTCGCCAACTTCCCGGACATTATTCATCTACAGAAAGGTAATGTATTTTCCCCTTATCATGTGCTCATTAGTGTTAGACCTAGAGTCTAATAGCTTGTCCTAGAGATTAATCTTCAACTCATTGCATTGCCTCACTAAGTAAGGCCTATTAGTGTATGTGTTATAAGTAGTATTGTCACGATACCATCATTTTGACTTCGATACCGTCACGAAACATGATACCAAAACGATACCACAACAACAACAATATTAGCCAAAGTCACAGAATGGCACCTGATCGAGACAGAAACTCAGCTACTGCTCTGTTCAATCATTGGGCATCTTTTGAGTTCAATATCGTTACATTTGAATTTCTTTACGTCAACGTTTTTCAGACACTGCCATGTATGCTTTAATGAATCAATTATACAATCATACAATCAATTTGACTTTGTTTTTACCAATCTAACTACATAACAACATAATGTTAATCAATTATTTGAATGGTAAATCTCTATTGATAAACTGGGTATATCAATAGCCTAGGCCTATCCACAATACAGGTGAATACACATTCAATAAGAGTGTGTGCATGCATTGAGGTATTGAGCTTGTTTTGGCTGATTTCATGGGGCTGCAGATGACATACAATTTGTTTCCCTTTCATTTGGGACAAATTTTATTGTACTGATCAACAACATTTGCATAGAAGTAGTCTCTTTAACCAGTAATGATGTCATTCACAAGGCAAGAGGGGGGCAGCCAGTCAGAGCAGTCACTTTGCTGAGGCAATAGATCATCTTTGGGAGAGATGTGCGAGAGAGACTGAACAGGTGAATTAATAACTTTTTTGGTGGCAATCAGCTTTGAAATCAGCATATTTTGCACAAATACTAGGGTAGTGAATTGATTTTAGCTTTAGCTGTCAGCAAGCAAGGAAAGTTAGCCTACAATGCTGGAAGCTACCGGTATTTTTTTTGCATTTTTTTGCATTTTTTTTGCAGTGTTCTAGCCAGTATGGACATTGTTTTGCGAACAGTAATGAACAGTTTCAACATTTCTACATGCCGTGCCACATTATTCAAGTGTGTTAACTTTTGTGCAGCATGAGTTTGGAGCAAACATGATGCAGCCCAGACTCCCAGTGCAGGCTAGCAATGAGTAAGTGGAGCAGGCACGGTGCGGTCTATAACAAGGGGTCGGCTGCGCTGATAGACAGGCTTGATCCGTGAAACACATTTGACAGAAGTAGTATCGAGAAAGTACCGAAGTTTCGGTATACCGTGCAACACTAGTTATAAGTGCTGTAAAACCACAGTTATAAGTAATCATGCATTACCACAACAGCTTGAAATCAATAGGGCAACTCTAACCAAGGACTGAGGTGTCTAAAAATGTGGGACACATGCTGTATCGTGGTACAGAATCCTACAAACGAATTATTTCAGGATGCTGTTGTTAACCACATTGATAGGAGGAAGAATGGAGGGGGAAAAATAAATGTGTCACAGCTGTCAAAATCATTCAACATTCATTGTTAAGATTTTGGGTGAAAAATGCCTGCAGCGGCGCAGGAAGAATCAGCCATATACTCACTCAGAAATCACTCATGGTTCCTTGATTGATGGACTCTGATAGTTCTATCAAACATGTCTTTGAGCTCTATTCTAACGGTATCTCTTAAATGCGACTAGTTTTACTACCCTGTCACTGGTAAATGGAATGATAATTGAAGTACCCCCAAGCCATTCCTTAGCTGCATATACAGTGCCTTCAGAAAGTATTCAAACCCCTTCTTATTCCACATTTTGTTGGGTTACATCCTGAATTTTTGTCACACCCTGGTGCTGGGACTCATTATTGTTTATCCAGGGTGTGTGCAGTCTATGTGTTTATGTTCTAGGTTGGGTGTCTAGGTTGTTGTTTTTCTAGGTTTGTTCAATGACTCCCAATCGGAGGTAACGAGTGTCAGCTGTTCGGCTCGTTATCTCTGATTGGGAGCCATATTTATTCTGTATGTTTTCCTGTGGGGTTTGTGGGTTTTTGTTTCTTGGTTACATGTTCCGTATGTCAGTGATTTGTAACTTGAGAACTTCACGTATCGTCTTTTGTTTTGTTTTCGTGAGTACGTTTATTAATAAATTATGTTCACTCGCAACGCTGCGCTTTGGTCCGCTTCCTCATTGGTAGACGATCGTGACAATTTTCTAAATTGATTAAATAGATTTTTTCTCACCCATCTACACACAATCTACACCCCATAATGACAGTGAAAACATGTTTTGAGGAATTTTAGCAAATTTCTTGAAAATGAAATACAGAAATATCCCTGAGTCAATACATATTAGAATCACCTTTGGCAGTGATTACGGCTGTGAGTCTTAATGGGTAAGTCTCTAAGAGCTTTGCACACCTGAATTGTACAATACTTTCACATTATTCTTTTAAAATTCTTCAAGCTCTGTCAAGTTGGTTGTTGATCATTGCTAGACAGACATTTTCAAGTCTTGCCATAGCTTTCCAAGCAGATTTAAGTAAAAGATGTGACTAGGCCACTCAGGACCATTCAATGTCGTCTTGGTAAGCAATTCCAGTGTATATTTGGCCTTGTGTTTTAGGTTATTGTCCTGCTGAATGTGTCCCAGTGTCTGTTGGAAAGCAGACTGAACAAAGTTTTCCTCATGGATTTTGCCTGTTCTTGAAAATAGAAAGATGGTACTCAGTGATGTGTTGTGTTGGATTTGCCCCCAACATAACACTTTGTATTCAGGACCTAAAGTTAATTTCTTTGCCACATTTTTTGCAGTTTTACTTTAGTGCCTTATTGCATACAGTTTGAATGTTTTGGAATATTGGTTATTCTGTACAGGCTTCCTTCTTTTCACTCTGTCATTTAGGTTAGTTTTGTGGAGTAACTACAATGTTGTTGATCCATCCTCAGTTTTCTTCTATCACAGCCATTAAGCTCTGTAACTGTTTTCAAGTCACCATTGGCCTCATGGTGAAATCCCTGAGCAGTTTCCTTCCTCTCCGGCAACTAAGTTATGAAGGACACCTGTATCTTTGTAGTGACTGGGTGTATTGATACACCATCCAAAGTGTAATTAATAACTTCACCATGCTCAAAGGGATATTCAATGTCTGCATTTAAAAAAAACAAATCTACCAATAGGTGCCCTTCTTTGCGAGGCATTGGAAAACCTCCCTGGTCTTTGTGGTTGAATCTGTGTTTAAATTGTTGTTGTTTTTATCGCACCGCTTTGCTTTATCTTGGCAAGGTCACAGTTGTAAATGAGAACTTGTTCTCAACTGGCTTACCTGGTTAAATAAATGTTTTTAAAAAAATCACTGCTCGGCTGAGGGACCTTACAGATAATTGTATGTGTGGGGTACAGAGACGAGATAGTCATTCAAAAATCATGTTAAACACTATTATTGTATTATTATAGTCCATGCAACCTATTTTGTGACTTGTTAAGCACATTTTTACTTATTTAGGCTTGCCATAACAAAGGGATTAAATAATTATTGACACAAGACATTTCAGCTTTTTAATTTGTAATGTATTTGTTAACATTTTGAAGAACATAATTCCACTTTTACATTATGGGTTGTTGTATTTAGGCCAGTGACACAACATCTGCCTGGTGTTGTAGCAGCATGGAACAGTTCAAAGGATGCCAGTAGCTTTATACTATACAGTAAGTAAAGGTGATACATATCTATGAAATGATTAATGCGTTCACTAGATGGAAAACTGTCTAGCTTCCAGGATATGTTCACTCTGCTGAGTTCCATGTGCACATTGCATCAGCCTACATATAACGTACATGAATACATTCATGCCTTCAGTGATAGAGATAGCATGTAAAGAAATCAGTCTGGTGGTTAAACACCTTTACACAAACTGACAACCTTGTAATGACAGGGACATGCTACAGCATGTCCCTTAATGGTAGAGTGAGCTGTAAGAAATCCTGTTTTTTGTGTCAATGCAAAAGCTTCCATCTGGGGTGATTTCTTATATGCCCTGCCCCGTACAATCCAGAGGATCATTCATCTCCATTGGATGCATTGAAAAGGATTGATGTGCCTAGTACATGCTTGGGCATAGCTGATGCATTAGCTATAGCAAGCAACTTGGACGTGTCTGTATCTGTCGTCAGGATGATGCAGTATTTAAGACAGTCAAACGACCAGCATACCAAGGACATGCTTCAGTTCTCAAACAACCCACATATCAGGAAGGGGGAGGGGGCTTCCAGCAGAGGAAGCCACGTTTCTCTTAGTTATCCATTGTAAATAAGGGCGTTAGTGAATGTTTCAATATTAAGCTGCAATGTGCTTTTCTAAATCACATCTACACCCAACCTTTAATTGTACAGGAATTGAAAGCCATTTGAAAATGTCATAGGCATAGCACAACGTCAGGGACCAAGGGTCTTATTGGTTCAGCTGCAAATATTAGAAATGCAAATATGAGCCTACTCATGTAACATTTGGCTGACTATTGAATGACCTTGGCGCATAAACGTAGATCTACATGTAGTGATAGCATAGTCAAAAGGCAGAATATGTCACAACTGAACTGCAAATTTAATAAATCCACTTCCTCTCAGTTTACTGTACTCTCATTACCTAGCTGAAGGCAAGGCACATGAACACATCATGCGTAAGAACATATGCAGTACCAGACAAAGTTTGGACACACCTACTCATTCAAGGCCTTTTCTTTATTTTTTACTATTTTTTACAATATAGAATAATAGTGATATCAAAACTGTGAAATAACACATATGGAATCATGTAGTAACCAAAATTTTTTTAAACAAATTAAAATATATTTTATATTTGAGATTCTTCAAATAGCCACCCTTTGCCTTGATGACAGCTTTGCACACTATTGGCATTCTCTCAACCAGCTTCACCTGGAATGCTTTCCCAACAGTCTTGAAGGAGTTCCCACATATGCTGAGCACTTGTTGGCTGCTTTTCCTTCACTCTGCCGTCCGACTCATCCCAAACCATCTCAATTGGGTTTAGGTCGGGGGATTGTGGAGGCCAGGTTATCTGATGCTTTACTCCATCACTCTCCTTCTTGGTAAAATAGC